ATTAAGACAAGTGAACACCGCGCGGTTATTCCCCTACTCGGTTCTAAAGCGAGTAGGGGAATTACCACGCGCTGTTCACTAAACGTATGCATTATTTGCGGGAATCTCCGAAAATGCGTTTCGTTATCAAGCAAAGACAATGTGAGGATTGCCATTCGTGTAAAAAAGTTAATAACTACCGATGATGTAATCATCATCTAGACTCCCCTACCCCCCATGATATCCAAAATAAGCAAAGCAAAGAACCCCCCGCCCCCCCATAGTGCTCACGTAATACTTCAACGGCCCCTACGTACGTCAAAATACATTGAATACAATACGACAAAATCGATACAAAGTCATTAACAGAATAATAGCGTTTTTCTACCAAATATGCTTGCACTCGTTTTTTTAAAAACTTAATAGCAACTAAGGTTTTGTATCATTAGGTAGATGATCGTATATAGTGGCGCATATATACTCAGGGCTTTTACGATAAGCGGTTAGATTGTAATTAGCAATACATACATGTATGTCTTTATTGTTGCCAAGGTTGTATTTTTGCTGGTCCCCGATGTATGTAAACTCATTATAATTATTTTTTACGAATAAGCAAGCCTCAAGTATAAAAACACTGGGAAATGTCAACAGATGCTTTGACTGAAAGGTCGTACTACAAGTCTGCCGAGTGCTCAACGAAAATATTAACCGTATAATCCTGTCTTGTCTACGGTCGAAGTCCAACTCGGGATTAATGGCAACATTCGCAGTGAACAAGGTGAGAATGCACTACCTTGAAAAAGCATCTGCCTCCATTGTGCTCTATCTCTCTTACTCCCCTACAGAGGATCTATAAAAAAAATTAATCAATTCTGGCGGTCCTAATAAGGATAATATACTAAGTGACATATAAATCCGAACACCCAGTTTAAATGGTTTTATTTTAATAAAATTTTGTATAAGTACTTAATCAAGCATAATAAGTAAATGATAAAAATTTCAAAATGATTGCACTGCTTTAAAGCCCTTTGACCTTTAATAATGTGTTGATGCACCCTGATGTGCTACGCATTCTCCAACGCGCCTAGGCATGCTTCTGATCAGGTGGTCAATGTCCTCCTGTGGTATCTCATTCCAGGCAACCACCAACTCCTCTCGAGGTGCTTCTAGAGTCTGAGGAGGACGTTGCAAATTGAGCAATCTCCTACCCATCATATCCCACATGTGCTCAATTGGGGATAAGTCGGGAGATCTTGGTGGCCATGGTAACAATGTAACATCATTATGTTGGAAGAAGTCTATTGTGACTCTTGCAACATGTGCGGGCATTATCTTGTTGGAAAGTTGGATCTGCCAGGGTGTCAAGATAGGGTAAAAGATGGGGTTCTAGAACCTCGTGGATATAACGCTGCGCGTTCATGTTACCTCTGATGAAGATTAAAGGTGACCTAGAACCATAAGCTATAGCACCCCAAACCATAACTCCAACAGTGTGATGAACATGTCTTTCAACAAAAAACTGTGGATTCCTCCTTTCACCACGTCGCCTTCTAACCCTGGCACGACCATCATGCATGCCTAAACAAAATCGAGACTCGTCACTAAAGATAATACTGTTCCATTCCTGATCCCAGAGTGACCGTTGTCTGCACCACTCAAGGCGATTACGTCGGTGTTCTCGAGTTAAAGGGAGGACCCAGTGTGGCCGGTATGAGAACAAGCCAAAACTTCTCATTCGTCAGTAAACACTTCGCATGCCAATAGGTCTTCCGTGTTCTGCAAACCATTCATTTGCAATGGACCTGGTAGTGGAGAAACGGTCCCTTAAGGCCAATAATCTTAGGCGGTGATCTTCACGGTCTGTTGTTCTACGGCGGCGTCCAGTGCCCCTTGCTCTTTGCGTACGGCCTTCTCGAAGCCATGCCTGACAACACCTAAACACAGTGTTTACACTTCTTTGCACTCTAACTGCAATTGCCCGAAAAGAAAGTCCAGCTTCCTGAAGTCCCACTATACGGCCCCTATCAAACTCACTAAGTTGACGAAATCGTACAGGTCTCCGTACTCTAGGCATCGTAACCGATCGTAAAGGATGTCAAGAACTAAAATCCGCCAACGTTGATTCTTTACTGCGGCTGAAATATTCATTTTTAGAGCGTTAGTGAATTAAAAAAAAGCAGTATAAAAACCGGAATGTCCAACTGATAAGGCTGAAAATTTTTTCACTTGTTATTTACAGTAAGATAAATACATTCACCAACTTTTATTAAAATAAAACCATTGAAACTGGGTGTTCGGATTTATATGTCACTTAGTATAGAAAACTGTTATCAAATTATGGCATTGTCATCGGTCCTTGATACGTTTGCGAAGCTTCAAATTAATCAAACTTCTGGAAAATATAGGCCAAGCTATCGAAAGCGTGTTAATTAAAGGAAAGTAATAGCAGAGTGCGAATAACAATAATACCATTTGAAAATTTCTGAAAACCAACCAACCTTTTCGTCTATTGACACATTGATCATACTTGATTCTTCCACACAACAGGATGTCAAAGTCAGACGTGAGAATAGGTCGTAATTAAAACTAACAGTTTGGTTTCTAAGCCAAAACTGGCAAGGAAGTATTTTCGCGAAAAAGTTCGAAATTGAGATGCTAAGTTTTTTTGGATGTTATATCCGCTAATTTTATAACGCCTATAACCTCTCGGATTGTAAAGAAATTTTCACATTAGGTTACTACTATGCCAAGGGTGAAAAAGCTAGTTTTTTTAAAACCGATCTAGTGGCGGAGGAGCTAGGGGCGTTTCAGAGGCTCCTAATTATTTTCGGGATTTTTTTGTAAGGGTTGAATCTTGGGGGATAGGAGTTGTAGATGATCGTAAATGTTGCGTCAGTATAAATCAGAGACGTTCTATCATTAAGAAGCTTCTATTCCGGGTAACAACGGGAAAATTAAATGATAATTCGAAATAACTTGGCGTTGCGTGCACGGCGCGACGCTGCATCGTCGTGGAGGCCACTGCGGACTGTGCAACGAGTAACAAACTCCAAGTGGTCTGCGGTGGTGTCATCACTGACACTCCGTTACAGCAGAATATTTATACAGGGTGTTGCTTAACAATATGTGAATATTTAAGGGTGTGAATCTACATGAAAAATTAATGTTAGTTATGGTCAAAAAATGTTTCCTTACAAAAACTCGGGATGTTGAAAAAAATAAAAACCGTTCTATTGTCCGAGAAAATTTTGACATCTGACAAGTTTATGTTATTCAAATCTGTTCGCTGTGACATCTTTTTCATTATTTAGTTTTTACAATCTGAATAATGGTGAATTATTCAAATGCAGAAGTGGCGGAAATGCGTATATGGCCTTGCCGACGGTAATGGTGAGCAAGCCAGACGGATTTATCACCAGAGATATCCCGATCGTGCTTTGCCAGATGGTCGAACCTTTTCTAATATTCATCGTCGTCTTGTTGAAACTGGTTCTGTCCGAAAAGGAACATCTGAAGGTAGACCTCTAAGTATGAGAACACCTGAAATTGAGGAAGCAGTGCTGCACAATGTCGAAGAACATCCTGAAACGAGTACGAGGAAGATCGCTAGACTCTTAAATATTTTCCATCAAATTGTTTGGAGAATTTTAGTGGATTTTGTTATATCCTTACCATATTTTAAGAGTACAGGCATTACTTCCCATTGATTGTCCAAGGCGTGTGACCTTTTGTCAGTGGTATCTTCAAAAAATTACACAGAATCCGCAATTTAAATCAATGATTCTCACGGACGAAGCTAATTTTTCTCGAAATGCCAATCAGAATTTCCACAATAATCATTTGTGGGCAGAAGAAAATTCCTATGCCGTAACCGAAACCCATTTCCAACACCAATTTTCGGTTAACCTATGAGCAGGAATTATTGGCCCATTCTTCTTGCCGGAACGACTTGACGGACAGACTTACCTAAATTTTCTTCAACAACAGTTCCCGTTGCTGCTTGATGATGTTCCGTTAGTAATAAGAAACAATATGTGGTACATGCATGATGATGCACCAGCGCATTTCAGTGTAGCGGTTCGTAATTATTTATAAACTGTTTATCCAAATCGTTGGATTGGCCGCGGTGGGCCCCAAGAATGGCCACCAAGGTCCCCAGACCTCAACAGTTTAGATTTCTTTTTGTGGGGCTATCTTAAGACACTAGTGTACACAAGTACCATTAACACTGTAGAGGAATTAAGAGAAAGAGTAGTTGCAGCTTGTGATAGAATAAACAACAGTCGAGGGATATTTCTACGAGTGCGCAATTCCATGAAGGGGCCATTTTCAACAATTTTATAATCATTTCATTCGTTTTAAAGTTATGTCTATATTGTCAGTTGTTTTTGTTCATTACTCCTAATGTGTTTAATTTTTCCAATTAAATTAATAATCATTTTGCAAGTTAGACGATAGAACGGTTTTTATTTTTTTACTCAAAAATGGCGCATCGAAGGAAAACAATTCAAGAGACATCATTTGTTTTAAATTGAACGGAGAATTCAAAAATTATTTTTATTTGGCAAAAAACCATTGGCGTACTATTTTTTTCTTATAAAATATTGAAGTCAATACTCGTACGCACGCCACTGTTGAAGCTAAAACTTATTTTTGCATTGAAAAATATGCAAATTTGTTAACTTCCACTACGTATTAAATATCAGTGAAATATCTGAAGCGGTTCTGGAAATATTAATTAAATTCCATTTTTTTCCTAAAACTTCAACACCCCGAGTTTTTGCAAGAAAACATTTTTGAACCATAGTTTATAAAGCAAACTAACATCAATTATTTTTCATGTAGATTCACACCTTCACATATTAGCATATCATTAAGGAACACCCTGTATATTTCAGGAATATTAGAGTATGAGGAGTGCGTACCTCTTAAGCGTTCTGCGATGGTTTTGTAAATGATGATTTAACTTCGTGTTGCTTTGGGGGAAAACGTACTAGTTATTTTTAATTCTTTGGTTACAGATCTTGTTCCTGTCTCTTCTACCGTCATCCCACTGCCAGTGTACAAGGTCGGTTATGGTTTCACTAGCGGAAAGAATGCCAAAAATTCGAATGTTAAGAAGCCAGAAGGACCAATAGAACTTATTACGGGTATGATCTCTACGTAAATGTCAGAAATCAAATAAACATTATTCACCTATTTAAACTTTGGATCAAAGAATTACCTTACAGAGTATCACTGAAGCTCTGCAACCAAAGTGCCACATTGCGCAAAATTATGTTTTATTTTCATACAACTTATTCATATTGAAATTCACATAGCTAGCACAAATGTTATAAATAATTACGTTTGCTCCGAAAGAAAAAATTTTGAAAAATATTATTCGCTTACTAAGCATACAAAATTATTCTTTAGGGGCAAACGTAATTATTTATAACGATGAATACTTATTTACAAATAATAGAGTTATTACATAAAAAAATATTTGGTTTCATCAGTAAACATCATAAACACAGATAAAATCATGCAGCACACAATTTTTTGTCGACTATACTCAGATTTTCTATTCATTTAGGAGTAATGATTTGAAATCAACTAGTAATAAAATTAATCAAGAAAAACATAATAAAGTATAATAAATTACTACCTGTAGATCATTCGAAGAACCTAGGTATTATAATGGATGGTGACTTTGTTGTTTTATTTGCAAATAAGACTATAATACGTAAATTTGTGAAAAAAAAGCAATTTTGTGAATCATTCTTCTTTTCAAAAATATCATATTGCTTCTTAGTTTACTATCCCTATTTAGATGTTAGAACAAGAAGTCGTATTCAAAGTATTATGAATACATGTTGTATATAAATACTAGCTCTAAAGTCTAACACATAGGGTTCTTTATTCTAAACCACCGTCATATTTAGTAACCAAATTCATACAGAGAGGAAACATGCATGGCATTCATATTAGATATAGAGAGAATTTTCCAATTCCACGCCACAGCACAACACTATTTCAGAATATATACAGGGTGGCGCATCGAAAACGAAACAGACGAATTTACTGACAGCTCAGTTTTTTTTAAAAAAACGCTCAGACCCGTCGATTTTGTTTTCGAGGGGGATACAAGTTTGGCAAAAAATCAAGCTAGCACGTGCAGCCCCCTAAGCGGGGGTGACACCACCCCCAAAATCTCAAATAGAAAGGGGGGTCGAGTGATACCTTATTTTAAAGGTTTATTTTAAGCCGCACATTTTGCAATATTTGAGGAGTAATTTGTAGGCACTCATTCACAATTCTTTGTCACAGGTCTTCAAATGATGTTGGCTGAGTAGCATAGATTTTGCTTTTTAAATGACCCCACATAAAGAAATCCAAAGGTGATAAATCTGGCGATCTTGGGGGTCATTCAATCCATCGATCTGGAAACGTCTGATCTAAATATTGTCGAACATGTAATGCGTAATGTGGTGGGGCACCATCCTGTTGGAACATCAACCTATTCGCAATGTACCGCCAATCATCCTAATTTTCAAATATGGCTGTTAATGCAGGATCTATGGCGTCTTCCAGTAATTCCAAATACATTTTACCGGTCAAATTTCCAGGTTAGAAAAATGGACCAACTAAATGATCGCCAAAAATACCAGCCCAAACATTTAATTTTTGTGGCTGCTGTGTATGAACCTCATGATAAATTCTGGGATTAGAATCGGACCAATATCGGCAGTTATGGCGATTAACTACGCCATTTAAGAAAAAGGAACATTCGTCGGAAAAGCAAGTGTTGAAAAGAAAATGTTCATCGTTTATAATTCTTTCACTAATATCTTCACAAAATTGTAATCGCCGATCAAAATCGTCTTCATTAAGTTCTTGTACCAGGTGAATTTTATACGGATGAAAACTATGGGCCTTTAGAATCCGTTGGACAGTACGTCGACTAACACCACACACAGTCTCCAACTTGCGGATACTTAACGTAGGATCTACATAAACTTGCCCTAAAACCCCCACTTCTATTGCTTCGTTCGTTATGGGATTTTCAATGTTGCGTTTTTTATTGGCGACTGACCCAGTTTCCCGAAATTTAGCTGCAAGTTCTAGAACACATTTTCGATGCACGTTACTGTTCTCATGTTGCTCATAAAATATTTCTGCTGTTCTATTAGCGCACTGATTATTTCCGAAAAATATTTCGATAATTTCAACTCTTTCTGCTGTGGAATATATCATGGTTAATGTATGTAATAAAGCGTTACAAGTTATTTTAGCAACAAAGTTTGGTCAAATCAATCGCAAACTATGTACTAAATTCCTATTTAAAATAAGTACGAGATATTTCCTTATCTTTCTTCAAGAAATAACTTTTTTGCCACAAAAAAACGCTCCAATAGCTATTTTCAACAACAAAATGATAAACAAACCATGTGCGTAGTGAAGAAAAGTATTTACTTATTAAGTAAATTCTTTTAGTCGAATTTCTTCTGAAAGTAGTACAAACTAATCCGATGTACCTATTAAAGTCTACTTTAAGCTTTAAATCAATAAACCTTCAAAACTACTGAACTGAAGCTCATGTATTTTACGTCATTATAAAGGGAATTGAAAGACCTTTAAAATAAGGTATCACTCGACCCCCCTTTCCATTTAAGATTTTAGGGTTGGTGTCACCCCCGCCCAGGGGGCTGCACGTATTAACGTGATTTTTTGCCAAACTTGTGTCTCCCTCGAAAACAAAATCGACGGGTCTGAGCGTTTTTCCAAAAAAAACTGAGCTGTCAGTAAATGCGTTTGTTTCGTTTTCGATGCGCCACCCTGTATATATACAATGCGATCAAATTATGTAATCATTTGGATCGTAGTTGAAAAGAAACCAATTGATCACCTACATTCAAGAAAAAAGTGAAGGAAATTCCACTTGATCAGCACCGAAACCTTATGTTTCCTTTATGCCTTTACAATGTTTATATTTTATTTTGTCGTTATTGTACACACGTATAAATTTCCAGCAAATGTTCAGCTCATTTACATCTCATATTGTTAACGGGGTTAGGTGGTAGATTAGATATAGTATCTAAATCTCACCTCCTGTAATATTATTACAAATAAAAAAGATGTTAACTATTATTATTAACAGGTTATAAAAGGGTAAAAAGACTGTTTTACTTTGATAAATTGACTTACTGCCTTTATGATTAGGAATTATAGTTAATATGAAATATTTGACAAAGTGAGAAACTAACTATTTTGGTTAAATAACGTGATCAATGGTATATGTTGCAATTACAATCATAAAAAAGATGTATTGTGTCATAATTTAAAAAAGGCAACTAAATGAACAACTTTTACGGTAGTATAGTAAAGAAGTACACTCATATTCCTAGACCTCATTAGGAGATCAGGAATCACTGTACTTTTTGCTTGATAACTCTAGAAGAAGTTATTTCAAATTTACCTTATTAGTTTGGAGTCAGTTAATAATTCAAACAAGTTCACTTTCAATCTAGAGACATGGGTATGACTTAATGTGGCAACCGTGTGCGACTCCATGCTATTGAATGAAGAACCCTCTGGAATATTCACACGCTTTTATTTTCAATTTGCTCCAACATTCGTATATATAACCTTAATTGTTACTTTTACAGTGCATACAAAGAAGAAACCTACCCCAGCAGTGAAACCAAAGGTGTCTGGAAATGTTAAACACGTTTCCAAAAAAGAACTAAGGGAAGAATGACGCACGAATCGACATATCGAGATTTGAAAATAGATGCATTTGACTAGCTGGCACTAATCATTCTTACCAAGACTAACCGCTGTTACCAATTCACCAAAACAAGATGATATTCTCCTTTGAACCTGATATTTTTAGTATTGTAGATCGTAGGTACTCTTACTTGGTGAAACCCATTAGTGATCGAATACTACAATTTTTCGTTAAAGTTTTGCAATAAAACACAGGCAGTCGTAAAATATTTCTCTGTTATTCGAAAAGCATCTTTCTGCCAAATCGAACGCTTCATTGCCAGTCTCGTCACTTAATTGACAGACCTCGTAATTAGCAGTGGACCATTTGTTCGATTTTTCTGAATTATCAGTAGGTCTTTTTCCGAACACAGTCAAGTTACGGTCTGCACATATCAGTGACAACAAACTAAGCGTATTTGTAACTCTAGTAAAACGACTGTCATGGAATCATCAGGTATTTAAAAGTATTTATAAACCTTCAATACATCGTGGCAATTGAGCAGACTACTCACACCAGTTAAGTCTTTTTTGAACGTTACTATAACTATACAGGGTGAGGGGAAAATAGATGCGGAGCCAGTGGGGGGAGGTAGTACAAGCCAATCTGAGTCGATTTTACTATAGGAACTACTGTCCGAAAATTAGCGGTTTTCGAATTATACTAATTTTTAAGATTTTATAAAATTAACGTCCTTTATACGTTAACCAAGTCATAAAACTTGAAAATTGGGTGTTTCATTTGATTTGATTTTTGGTTTTACAATAAAATTATTCTAAAATACGAAAATTGATACTCAAATGTACATTATTGACGTTATCTCATGCAGTAAGCTTCAAAATAGTTCGATTTTTGTTAAAAAAATCTTCGTTTATCTCACAAGCTTTAGTTTACTAGAAAAAGTCGCATACAAATCTTTCATACCAAATAATTAGAAAACATCTACGTTTCATTACCTTTCAAATGAGGTATAAAAATCACAAATCGATTAAGAATTGGCAAAAATATGACTATTAATAAGAGAAGGAAGGAAAAAGCAATAAAAAATCATACCTTAATACAGGATAATTTGTTTGAAACTAGATTTTTTTATTTTCATAATACATTTTCAATCTGGCGCCCTACTACCGCCGAATTCCTAAGAGAGGCTTCAATTTCTTGTGCTGCGCATGTATTATCCTGTTTCTGAGGTCCTCTATTGTGGGTACAGGATTTTGACCAGAGTATACTAAAGTTTTCATGCGACCCCACATAAAAAAGTCCATAGGTGTGAGATCAGGACTGCGTGCTGGGATTGGTCCGCCTCTACCGATCCATCGATTCTGAAACTGCTCATTTAACCAATTTCTAACACTTAGTCTGAAATGTACTGGGCACGTAATTCAAATAGAACATTTCTCAAGAAGTTTTCGTAGGCTTCTCCATTTAAGTTGTCGCGTAGGAAATGTGGTCTTACCAAACAGTTATTTATAATGCCCATCCAGACATTCAGACAAAATCGCCTTGGAGATCCTTTTGGTCTCTTCATATGAGGATTTCCCACTGCACGTTCACGCCAATACTGAGCGTTGTGGTAGTTTGTTATGCCGTCTTTATCAAATTTTGATTCGTCGGTCCATAGAATTTTTCTTAATTAATTGCTATCTTCAACATCAGCGTTTAAAATAAAACGACAAAATTGCATGCGCCTCATGGGATCTCCTTCCTCTATGACATGCACAGGTGTGTAGTGGTAAGGGTGGAATATGTTTTCATACAAAACATACCACATTTGCCATTGGGATAATCCAAGCCGTCGAGCCACAGCGCGAGTAGAGAGAGTAGGGTCTCTTTGAAAATATTTAATGTTTCTTCTTCTTCCACATCATGTCGAGGTCTACCTGCATCACCTGAAATTAAATGAAAAAACAAATAACAGTATTTGGGAGGAAATTGTTACCTAATAAACATAGCGGTAAGACTATGAGCTAGAGTTGGCAAAATATTATTTAGAAAAAACGATACACAACGTGCAGATGTTTCCATCTTCAGAGCCGTGTAGATGCTCGTGTTAAAATTAAATGAATAAACTCTTAATTAAGAAGTTCAATCAACTGTATCAAAACAACTATGTTACAGTACCATCAGTTCAGCCCACAGACCTCCAAGGCTCTACATAGGCCTTACTGAATGACTGATTATCATAAGTTAATAATTATCAATGATGCAAACTTACCTTGATATTTTACGACGGTACCGCGCTCTCGAACCCGACGGAACGTATGCCTAAATACGCGGGCGTCAGGTAGGCGACGAGTAGGAAACATTTCCCCATACTCACTACGAGCTTCTTCAGCATTGCCTCTGGCATCTCCATAGTAGAAAAGGATATCGGCATATTCTTCGAAACTGAACGGCCGCCTCCTTTGTTCATCAGCCATTGTTCATCGATAGGTAGATCAACGAACAATCAAGTCACACACCAGCCAAGTCAGCAGCAGCGGTGGCCGCAGTAGTAGACTCTTCGGTCTCCTGATCAGTCGCCGTGCGCTGTGCGCGTTCGAATCCCGTCCCAGGAGAAACTTTTCTCTTGGCTATGGATATTGTGATTGTCCGTAGGTGGTAGATGGTCTCTGACTGTCGAACGCGGAGGTACCACCCGGCGGATCTCGTAGGCGGAGCCAGAATGTGTGCATGTTGCATGCACACGTGTTCCCTCGCCAGAGTCCGTGTGGCGTTCCCCCTTTCCCTATAGCCCCACGGTACCAATGGGTGTTTAGGCCCTAGGCCTTCGCGGTAGTTGGAGTATAAAAAAAAAGTCGTAAGGAACCACAGAAAACAGGGTTTAGTCTAGGTCGTCAGGAAAAGAATCACACACGGAAGTCCAACAAGAGCCAAGTCGTTAGAAATATCAAAACAGCGAGCAAACAAACACATCCGAATGCAACAAATCGCAAGAGCAGATTGAAACGAGGGAGGGAGGGGGGTGACTAGTTTTACTTATCACACTATTCGGGTGGCAAAGTCCGATGTTCGCGGCTCTACCTGTTTCTTTCACTCATATCTTTGTCATTTCTAAACCGGTTTGTGACTTTGATACCTCATTTGAAAGGTAATGAAACATAGATATTTTAGAATTGTTTTGCACGAAAAATTTGTAGGTGATTGTTTCTAGTAAATTGAGTTTTTGGGATGAACGAAGATTTTTTTTAACAAAAATTGAACTATTTTGAAGCTTACTACATGAGATAACGTCAATATTGTACATTTGAGTATCAATTTTCGTATTCTAGAATATTTTTATTGTAAAACCAAAAAAAATCAAATGGAACACCAAATTTTCAAGTTTTATGACTTGGTTAACGTATAAAAGACGTTAATTTGATAGAATCCTAAAAACTAGTATAATTCGAAAACGGCTAATTTTCGGACAGTAGTTCCTATAGTAAAATCGACTCAGATTGGCTTGTACTATCTCTCCCTACCGGCTCCTTATCTATTTTCCCGTCACCCTGTAAAATGGGACCGACTGAAAGTGTTCATTCAAAGAAATACAACAAAAATCGGGTTTTTGATGAAAACTGAATATATTAAAGAAACTGGGACACTTAAAACGTATATGTACATAAATGTTTTTTAAAATAAACAAAAAACTATACACTTAAGAAGAAAAAGATTTGTTACCTTTTGATACATACAAAGTATTTACATATGTACAATATAATATGTACGTATGTTTGTCTCCTCTTTCTCTTTAATATGGCGTCTTGAAACCGTATTTCTAGTTTAGAAGAAGCTCCAAAGACTCTGCATGATTTTCGTCAAAACTTTTGAGCTGCTTGGTCAGGGTAATAGCTTTACCATAATTTGACATATCTTCTGTTGGTACTGGAACCTCATCGACACCAGAATCTTCGGAAAGTTCTTGTATTTAAACTGAATTTTCAATTTCTTTGCCTAAATCTGGATCTACAATATGAAGACTATCATCTAGGTTCAAAAAATCATAAAGGTTTTCGTTATCAGTCAATTTCAATAAATTTTTATTTTTGCAGATATCTGAAAGTACGTTAAGTGGTGACTCATCTTGTGGGTCAAGTGTATCAGACTCATTTAACTGGTCTTCACTTTGCATGTTTTCATGCTCAAATCGTGCTTTGCGGAAGCAATTTTGCACTGTTTCTTTGGTTACTTGATCCCAGGCGATTTTGGTCAAACAAACTGCATCGAATGACGTAATTTTCTTGATTAACTCAAAAGCTGTACTAGCAGCTTCAATGTTTACTTGCAAGTTTTTTAAATGTCTTTATGATCTTTGGTCAAGTAATTGACAAGCTGGTGTACAACTAAGGGGCAAAATAAGATTTTTTATATTATTTAAGCGAATGTCTTTTGGATGAGATCCCGCATTGTCCAAAAATACCAAAATGTTTTCTTTTTCTTTAGCAATTTCCAATCTAAGTCTTGCAACCACTTGTCTTGCCATCTTTTTGCATGCCAAGTTACAGGCAAGTAATTGAAGTTAATGTTTTTAAAAGCTTTAGGTTTAGCTGCCTTTGAAAGGACTTTTTCTTTTTCACCCACCATATTTACCCAGTACGAAATTGTAAACCTGTCTTTGGGATACTCACCATTTTAGCTTCTTTAATGTGAGCGTCTTGTCGGGTAGAGCCTTAAAACACAGGCCTGTCTCATAAAGAGAAGAGAAAATGAAAATATTAAAGAAACGAAAATTCAATGACATTAAAAAATGATAGTTCGACAGCGTAAATAGGGACTTATACATTAGTTTTATATGCATGTTAATTCGCTTGGCTCGCATGGAAATCTGTGTATGCTATATATGTCAATGTCAGTCTGATTTTTTTTTCAAATAAAAGCGAAACCCGTCGCGACTTGCACTGTGTTTTACTGTTAAGAGAATTATACTATTCGATCACTTGACATTTTTATTTGAGTTTTTTTTTGCTCTAGTCAAACCTGGCAAATTATCTAGCTATTAATCTATATGTAGAACGAGGATCAGTATCAAGAGCAACAACTACCATCTATTGTAATACCCTAGGTCCAAGAGATAGCAACAGTTATTATGAAATAACAGACACAAATTGTTCTACTCGTTTTCAAATGCTTTTATTACCATATTAAGTTGCCTTTAAAAGTATTCGCTACGTGACAGTATTTTTGGCGCCTTTTTCATGACCAGTGTCACTTGTAGTTTGTTATTATCCCTAGATAGAAAATGTACAGTTTTTGTATAAAATCAAATAAACCCGTTTTTTCTAATATAATATTTGTTTTTTATTGGGATCAGTGTAAAAAGGGTGTAAACACACTGGTTCGTGCTCCAGAAGAAACCCCCAGAATTCTTTGAACACATGACATACCTAAATGACATAAAATGCAACACCGACTAGGAGTGCTGTCATTTATACTTATACTTTCACTGCTAGATGGCACCTCTACAATACGCCCCAGCGGGCAATATGCCCCACAACTCTGTCGCTCAAACAGACAGAGATAGACATTAGCCCGTATTTATAAAAATGGAGCATTTACTTTGAAGTAAAAGGTACAAGCAAAAGGTAGAAGTAAAAGGTTTCGCTCTAATTCGTATTCATAATCTCTACCTCTTCCTTGCAAGCAAATGCTTCGAGAAAATAAAGTAAAAGCTACGGAGATTAGCGATTTCGAGAAGATATGACTTGCAGCGTGCAATCAACGCGTATGTGGTCTGTAACTGATGGGGCTTATCTTATTTGTATCATAATTAAAAGTAGTTCGCACGTCAATTGATGTGAAGAAGATCCATCTAACTTATTTGTGCAGCTATTTTAAAGTAAATAAAATATTTAAAATGTCTGACACCGCTGGTGAACAGGAAGATGTCCCTAACGAGATGATGTTTATCGCTGAAAAAAAGTCCAAGCATTTCCGGAGATTCTCGAGAAATCTCAAGTTCCAGCGATGAAAAAGAAGAATACTGCTGCTTTTACTGATATCGTTAAGAAATACGTTACTTCATTTGGCAAGGAGATGGATATTAAAGCTTTTACGAAAAAAAAGAAACAATATGAAAACGCGACTGAAAAATAAAACTGACAAAAATAAAACTGGGAACAAGCCCATTCGTCTTTTGTCCTGGGAGGAAGTTATGTTAAAGGCTATGGATGCGGACATATACTAAGTGACATATAAATCCGAACACCCAGTTTAAATGGTTTGATTTTAATAAAATTTTGTATAAGTACTTAATGAAGCATAATAAGTAAATGATAAAAATTTCAAAATGATTGCACTGCTTTAAAGCCCTTTGACCTTTAATAATGTGTGGATGCACCCTGATGTGCTGCGCATTCTCCAACGCGCCTAGGCATGCTTCTCATCAGGTGGTCAATGTCCTCCTGTGGTATCTCATTCCAGGCAACCACCAACTCCTCTCGAAGTGCTTCTAGAGTCTGAGGAGGACGTTGCAAATTGAGCAATCTCCTACCCATCATATCCCACACGTGCTCAATTGGGGATAAGTCGGGAGATCTTGGTGGCCATGGTAACAATGTGACATCATTATGTTGAAAGAAGTCTATTGTGACTCTTGCAACATGTGGTCGGGCATTATCTTGTTGGAAAGTTGGATCTGCCAGGGTGTCAAGATAGGGTAAAAGATGGGGTTCTAGAACTTCGTGGATATAACGCTGCGCGTTCTTGTTACCTCTGATGAAGATTAAAGGTGACCTGGAACCATAAGCTATAGCACCCCAAACCATATTTCCAACAGTGTGATGAACATGCCTTCTAACTCTGGCACGACCATCGTGCATGCCTAAACAAAATCGAGACTCGTCACTAAAGACAATACTGTTCCATTCCTGATCCCAGAGTGACCGTTGTCTGCACCACTCAAGGCGATTACGTCGGTGTTCTCAAGTTAAAGGGAGGACCCAGTGTAGCCGGTATGAAAACAAGCCAAAACTTCTCATTCGTCGGTAAACACTTCGCATGCCAATAGGTCTTCCGTATTCTGCAAACCATTCATTTGCAATGGACCTGGTAGTGGAGAAACGGTCCCTTAAGGCCAATAATCTTAGGCGGCGATCTTCACGGTCTGTTGTTCTACGGCGGCGTCCAGTGCCCCTTGCTCTTTGCGTACGGCCTTCTCGAAGCCATGCCTGACAACACCTAACCACAGTGTCTACACTTCTTTGCACTCTAACTGCAATTGCCCGAAAAGAAAGTCCAGCTGCCCGAAGTCCCACTATACGGCCCCTATCAAACTCACTAAGATGACGAAATCGTACAGGTCTCCATACTCTAGGCATCGTAACCGATCGTAAAGGATGTCAAGAACCAAAATCCGCCAACGTTGATTCTTTACTGCGGCTGAAATATTCATTTTTAGAGCGTTAGTGAATTAAAAAAAATCAGTATAAAAACCGGAATGTCCAACTGATAAGGCTGAAAATTTTTTCACTTGTTATTTATAGTAAGATAAATACATTCACCAACTTTTATTAAAATAAAACCATTTAAACTGGGTGTTCGGATTTATATGTCACTTAGTATATGTACTTTGAAGGAATTGGTTTATTTTTTGAAAGCAAAAAGTAAAACTTTTTTTTATAAATATGGACTAATAGGTTGCGGCTCGCATGCAATGAAAATAGTACCTCTCCGACTTGACTGCCGTGGGAGTGTGATTTTTGCATTTAATGTTCAATTATAGTAGAATCTTTAAATACGACTTTGAGACAAATTGCGATGATTACTGTACAAATTATTGAATATAGTGAACTATTTTTGGAATCAAAATTAAATTTAGGAATATGGAAACAGTGATAGATAACCTACAATTTTACGTGTTGCACACAGTCATAAACCTTTCATGGCAGCCATGTTTTTCTTCATCTGATGCTCTAAAGGTTCAAGATTTAGTAGCATTTGAACCTAGCATTTGAACCGGATATACTCAGCGAATTTTCTGAAGAAAAAGAAACTAAAGTACACCCTGTACCGAAGCTACCTCCTATGAGCTTAAAGATAAAACAGAAAGCTGTTGTTTTGACGTCACCAGAAAATATACAAAAACGGAAAATTATTGAAGAGAAGAAAAAACCTGTGGGAACTTCTAAAAAATCAAAGCATGTGAAAAAATAAAGCTTCAATGAAACCAATTAAAATAAAAGACAAAGAAAATGCCACAGCAAAGAAAAAGAAACCAAAATATGAGTCATCAGAGAGTGAAACTGATGAGGAAGAAAGCCAAAATAGTTCGAATGAGGGAATATCCGAAGAAGATGAAAGCAGGTGTAAGGAATACATAGAAAAATATTATAAGAAGATTGGATAAAGTGCCCATTTTGCTCTTTTTAAATGCACGAGTGCCAACCATGAGAGAGATATGAAGTCTATTAGGATGGGTTATAAAGTTTGTTTCAACTTAATAGGTGTCTAATAGGATTAGAATAGTACGTATGTTGTTTTTTCAAGGTTTTGTTTATTTATGAGAGGAAGAGGAGTATGGTGACGCTTTCCATATCTTGTAAAATATATATTTTTTCATGTATTTGCTTATTTTATGAGAGATATTATCACCGATAATAAAGAATGTTTGTTGCTTTTTACAGGTTCATTTCATTTTATTATCCAGGGGCATCTTGTAACAGAACTGAGGCATTTTATCAAGGGACTTCAATGCAAAACGTCGTACCTAAGGTTTTAAAAAAAGTTACATTGTGATCCATCGTCAAGTATTTCCTGGCAAATAATGGGTGTTTTTTTGCTAGTATCTTTTTGGCAACACTGTTTTTGACAGATGACGCGTGAATCTTGTCTTGTGTCATTGTCAAACTTGTTCAGTTTGGTCTATAATTTAACCATGAATCGACTTACGAACGAACAACGCTTGCAAATTATTCAATTTTACTATCAAAATTCATGCTCGGTTAAGAGAGTGCATCGAGCACTGCTTCCAATTTATGGGCAACTTGGTCGGCCTACTGAGGGAGCTATTCGAAAGTTTGTTACTAAATTTCGAACCCAGTGTACATTATTGGACATTAAACCACCAACACGCAGACGTAGAGTGAGGACTGAAGAAAATATTGCGGCTGTATCCGCCAGTGTTAGTGATGACCGTGAAATGTCGATTCGCCGCCGTTCGCAGCCTCTGTTACTCCACTACGTGGGAAATTTTGCGACAGGATTTGGGTGTAAAACCTTATAAGATACAGCTGGTGCAAGAATTGAAGCCACACGACCTCCCACAACGTTTCCAATTTGATGAATGGGCGCTGGCAAAGTTGGAAGAAGATCCAGATTTTTATCGAAAAATTGTGTTCAGCGACGAAGCTCATTTCTGGTTGAATGGGTACGTTAACAAGCAAAATTGCCGCATCTGGAGTGAAGACCATCCAGAAGCATTGCAAGAGCTACCAATGCATCCCGAAAAAATCACTGTTTGGTGTGGATTATGGGCCGGTGGCATCATCGGGCCGTACTTCTTCAAAGACGACAATGGCCGGAACGTAACTGTGAATGGCGAGCGCTACCTTGCGATGATAACAAACTTTTTTTTGCCCAAAATGGAAGAGCTGGACTTGGCTGACATGTGGTTTCAACAAGACGGTGCCATATGCCACACCGCACACGAAACAATGGCCCTATTGGGAGGCGAGTTGGGTGAACAGTTTATCTCGCGTTTGGGGCCCGTCAATTGGCCGCCTAGATCGTGTGATTTAACACCGTTGGACTTTTTCTTGTGGGGCCATGTTAAGGCTAATGTCTACAGGGATAAACCAGCAACGATTGACGCACTGGAAGCTAATATTGAAGCATTTATTCGTGAGATACCGGCCGATATGTTGGAGAGAGTGTGCCAAAATTGGACCTTGCGCATGGGCCATCTAAAGCGGAGCCGCGGCCAACATTTACATGAAATAATCTTTAAACATTAAATTATATCGACCGTTCTATCGACTCAAATAAAGATTTAATCGTTTTTTCAAATTTTTTGTGTTTTTTTTTTGAAAATCAAATCCTATACCTCTTAAAAAATCACCCGTTATAAGTGCCATAAGATTAACAAATTACCGCTCCTTTATTTAAAATGTAACACATCAGTAACAACTCCAACAGCTAGGATTTACTAAACTCTAAAAAAAGCGAAGCGTATTGTAGAGGTTTACCCTACTGATAAATAAGAAGTGATCAAAATTTTAACTCGTAATTTCGCAAAATAGTTGAGATATCCCACCATAATGTTAATAATGGGTTGAAGCTCCTCTATTCGTTAAGTTTTGTAGTGTATCCCAGGTCATCTGAATTTGATTTCGTAGTCATGGTTTCATGTCCCATACATGTTCCATCGTTTCCCCAGACGTGATCTTCCAAGGCCCCGTAGATTTGTTCACCTTGTGCAGAGACTCAGTGATACGGGTCGCTTGGAGAAATGTCGAGGTGGGCACAGTGGGAGACCTAGACAACTCTGAACGGTGCAAACTGAGGAAGAAGTACTAAACCTCGTAGACGAGAATCCTTCAACAGGCATTATGTGGCTAGACAAGTGCAAGATTAAAGTGTGTCAAGCGCTGCATGATGAGGGATTGTATCCGTTTCACGCCTCCAAGCTGAGGTTTTTTCTGCAAGAGTGGGGTTTTGCGAGTGTTTGTTGCACCAACATGACAATAATCCGGACTTTTTGAAGTGCATATTAGTCACAGACGAATCCTCGTTCACGCGTATCGAGCTGAATAACTTCCGCAATACTCATGTGTAGTCAGTAGAAAATCCTCGCGCTGTCCGTCGGTCACTTTCCACAAACATTTTCTGTGAATTTCCGGGCTGGACCATTTATTCTCCCGAATCGGTTGGACAGGATACAATACCTAGACTTTTTACAGAACATTTTAACAACCCTGCTAGAAGATGTGCCTTTGAATGTAAGACGATCTATGTGGTTCCTCCATGAGTTCTCAAATGAATTATTTCCGAATAGGTGGATCGGACGTAAGGCATGGCCTCCGCGGTCTCCAGACTTAACACCGTTTGATTTTTTCCTTTGGACCGAAATGAAACGCTTGGTGTACAAAACTGAGGTGCGCACGGTTAACGAATTACGTCTGATAATTTTTTTTTATACTCGAACTACCACGAAGGCCTAAGGCCTAAGCACCCGTGGAGCTATAGGGGGATACATGGGAACACGCACATGTGTTTTTGAATCCAACGGCAACAACTTCAAACAGTACTTATAACGTTCACCAAGAAAAAGTGACACCGACGTCATATTTTCCATCTTTTTTTGCTATTTTTGTGCTCCTCGGATTTTACGACAGAGCCGCACATAGACTTTCAAATCAACAGAACAGTGAGTACTTTTTCATTTATTTTTTTAGTTGTTCACTCACGTTTCACCACACATCAGCTTTGTTATATCCAGTGTAGTTGTATCTGAAAACTATGCTACAGATTTTATATACAGTATATTCAGATAAGAGATAGACCGGACATAAACAAGACCACGTGATCATCGAACGCTGTAACATTCGGCAGGGACGTATTAAGAGTCACGCAGTACATATTTTAGATAGTAGATGCTGCTTTGCGTAACTTTGTAGTAAATTAGCACAATTCGATGTGTATACGATTGGTGATGGATATAGGATCATGTGGGGGTGGGGTAAGAAATATATAATGATGTAAATATACATAAGGGTTTCAAAATTTTCGCTTCGATTTCCAGCTTTGTGAGAAACCTTCACAACAATTTCTTTGATGGTTGATGCCTCGTTCTCCTCGCGCTCGATCTTATATATATTCAAAATGACCTCTTTCATTTCTGCACTCAGGTGTCTTTTTTTAGAGCGTTTCCTAGGTAGACTACAGGAGTTTACAACTTCATCGGCAGTATCTGTACTACTGGGCATTTTGCGCAAGCAGTTAATAACAATAACAATCAATAACAAGGTATAACAATAACAACGACAAACTCAACAACTTAATAAGATAACAAACGAAAACGTCCAAAGAAATATCAAATTGCAATGATGCACACAACATACGTAACACGTCTGAACCTGAATGTGACTCTGCCTTGATACGACTGCTCTGCCGCTCGGCATAGGCATTTAATTGCGAATTGACCAATGAGGGCTCCTGTTTTACGTCGAGACGGCGGCGTTAGCGTGAAAATCACCCGAACCTTTTGTTTAAATCCGGTCTATCTCTTATCTGAATATACTGTAGGTACCTGTATCTAAAGGCCGTCCGTCACGATACGAATTTTTTTGCTATATTTGTACAAAATTAAAGATAGTGTCAGACAGCATTTAGTACATAATTTTGTATAAACAGATTGAGTGCTGAACTTTTTAGAATCTGTGCTCTCTTATCTTTGATAAATTTTTGTTCAAAAGCAATTCTCCGTTTATGCATGTTTAGGGTGTATCATGGAAACACTCCATAGGTTTGCTAGGAGCCCATGGGAACTTTTAATCAGGATGCTCTGGGGAACTTATTTCTGGAGTTGAAAAATGACATTCTGCCGATTTTTTTACATTATTCTGGTTTTTTGACATTATATAGGTTTTTCTACAAGATATTAATTTAGCACTTAGTTGTACGTATCGCCTTAACGTCATGAGGCTTGTTATCAATCTTTGGCTCTGATGTGATGTAAAATCTGCTTCTGAGATGGCATTACTGGAGGTAAGGTAACAGCATAGTGAGGATTGGTGTGATAATAATATGTCTTGATGATAATTCCATTGGATTCTTGTCTCAAATACACTTACTTGAGATTCAAAGCTAGAAATTAGTTGCGCATCCACTTTTTCTTATCCATTCGGGAAATTGCATATACAAATTTGCTGAATTTCAAAAACGAGAGAGATAAGAAATAATTATATTCACTGTACACTGTCGAATTACAAGCCATATACATGCTAAAAGTAATTGCACACAACGCGGCCGCGGTGGATGGTTTCCCGTAATTCTCCTCAGTTTTTCGTAATTTAGAACTTTGAACATAACCTCCCTTCAGAAAAAACAACATAAAAATAACCCATCGGGCACAGCCAATAGATATACTTCATTGGCAGCATATTCAGTAATGATTTTAGTAGATACGACCTTGAGAGCTGACCTTCGGTGCAAACCTTGAAATGTGACATTGAACTGTGACCTTGAGTTTCCGAGTGGCCTTGAATTGTGACCTTGAAATTTGACCTTGAGTTTCCGAGTGACCTTGAAGAGCGAACTTGAACATATATGACCTCGAGCACTCTCGACCTTGAGTGTGTGTGACCTTGTAGGAGTGAACGACCTTGAGATGTAGAAGGAAGCGCCGACCTTCGGTGCCAAACGACCTTGAGAGCTGACCTTCGGTGCCAACCTTGAAATGTGACCTTGAAACGTGACATTGAGTTTCCGAGTGACTTTGAAATGCGACCTTGAGTTTCCGAGCGACCTTGAAGTGTGACCCTGAGTTTCCGAGTGACCTTGAAGTGTTACCTTGAGCATATATGACCTCGAGCAATCTCGATCTTGAGTGGGTGTGACCTTGTAGGAGTGAACGACCTTGAGATGTAGAGGTTGGCACCGAACGTCAGCTCTCAAGGTCGTTTGGCACCGAAGCTCGGCTCTCAAGGGCGTTCCAGAACATACAAACCCTATCTACTGATTTTCTCACACAGCAAATATCACTGATTTTATACAGATGCAGACCAATACACATAATCATCCAGATGCGATCTTGCTATTCAACCAACTTTCTTCTTAGAGATAAAAACTACAGACAAGGACCATTTGGCCTCACACAACATATGCAACCAATTATGCGTTTAGTGTAGTTGAGTGATTCCTCCTTAGATGGACGTTCACAACGATCCTAGTGAGCAAACGTGGAATGACTGTTTGCGCCCTAAAAACTACCTAGTTTGCAAGATGACATCTTATAGGTTTTTTTTGACGTTTCTTAATTTTTTTTACATGATACCCATGCGGGGACTGATTTCCGTAAGGCGTGTGCCCTCTCCTTTGAAAAATACCTCATTAAAAGCTCAAACCTAGTGCTAAACAGCATCCCCGTCAGTATCTACTGCACGCAGTCGAAAGTATATTTGAAGATAGACTACAAAGGCTCCATCAGCTGATGGGAGCGATGATTCCTTCACAAAGCCCAAAGCCAGTTATTAAGTTCTCAACATTGCAACTTAGTAAACAAAAAGGTAATTTCATACGCAAGTGAGTCCGGTTATTAAAAATTTTGCTCAGTCATACTGAAAAATTGCTTCTGTGACGGCACACAAAGTGCTCTCTCTGGAAAAATAGTAGAAAAAATGCCCTCAGGGCGCACGCTGGGCCGTACCGTCGTCCTCCCGTTTTCAAATTAAACTTGTTTCACATTCAAATTTATAGGGTGGACTTCATAACCCCTTGCCAATTACCAGAGATAGAAAATAATGCAACTTTTCATCATTTAGCCAATATTAATACTCTAATAAAGCGCTCGTCGTAGCTTTAATACACCTTGGTCTTAACTTACAGTTATCTTTGAAAAAGTTTTTTCAACATCATGTTTTTAGTAAACCGACAGTTGAAGAACATCTATTAGTTAACTAAAAATGCTGTGGTGAAATAGCCATACCTGAAATTTGTTGTAAAAAAATTCACAAATCATAGCAATTTATCGATAAATATAAATTTAAGCTGAAACGTGTATAGAGATTACGACGTGAACGCGTATACAGGGTGACTTGTAATGTCACGTATTCCTGTTAAGGGGTGATAGATTAGGTCAAAAGCAACCGATTTTGTCCTATCATGTCTTATCCAAAAGTTAATCGTTTTTGAGTTATATGAATTTTAAGTTTTTTATTTTTTATTCCGATTTCAGAAGGTTAAAATTGAAATACAAAAAAACTGCATGCTTGATTTTGAGTTTTTTGTTATCGTCGCACAGGAGACATTCCAATAGTTCATAATAAGTAATAAAATGTTGAAAAGCTACAAACGTTTTAAAATTATGCGTTTTAGATGTATCATTTTCTTTTTTTTTTACTAACTTATTCGATAAAAAATGCAATTTTCAGACAGTAGCTCGCATCCGAGTTACTTCAACAATTTTTGTTTTCACTCGCCTACTGGCCCGACAGAAACGCGCATTATGGCGACAGCTCGGACGTCATTCGCATCGTTCGGACATGTTCGGCAGTAGCTCGCCAGTGTCAGCCCGCAATGACGAAGCAGAAGCTGTATTTTATGTTTGCTGTGCCAAGAGCGTTTACCCAATTCAAAATGGGCTCAGAAAGGTGGTCTTCTGAGAATAATATTACATTCATGAATCTCTACAGAGAACAAGAAAACCTATGGAATTGTTTTGATAAAAATTAAAGTAGAGATATGAGAGAAGCATCTTTGGAATACATTGCAAACGAAATGAGTCTAGTTAACACCAGTGAGGTAACTAAGAAAATAAAAAATTTACGATCTACCTATAACCAAGGACGCGCGAAAATCGAAAAAAGTAAAAAGAGTGGATCTGGGTCGGAAGATGTTTACAAGTCATCCTTAAAATGGTTCGATATAATGGATCATATAATGAAAACAATTAATTTGAAAGAAAAGGAAACAACAAGCAATCTGGTGAGTACCTGATATTTTATTCCACTGAGATAGTTCATTACATTTAATTTTTATTAATCATATAATTTTGCCAGGTCACAGCACCCTCAATACAAAAAAAAATTTGTATTTTTCTCTCAATTTTTCAGCTGTGATCTTTGATCTGTTATTGATCCGCGAACAGGCGATACTTGGTAACGCATTTATTTCTGATCTCCACGTTCCTAGGTTCGTAGTGAAATTTACAATATCTTCATAATCTATGCTACCAGGTGGTGTGTAGGTGTGAAGTGAAGATTTGCGCAACCAGTTGTGCAGTACACATGTATTTCGAATCATTTTTATTGCGGTTTCCTCTTGCAACTGGATAGGTTTTGCCCAAACACGGAATCGAGATACTAAAATACCAACTGCATTTTCTACTATGCGTCTTGCACTAGTGAATCTGTAATTGTAAATTTTTTCGGCAATCGTGGGCTCATTGGGATATCGTTTCAATAAGTATGTCTTAAGAGGGAAAGCATCATCTCCCACTAGGAATCCACCTTCTGGCAGTAATGACCCATTTTCCAACACTGGATACAATGAGGAAGCTTGGAAAACACCACCGTCGGAATTTCGCCCATATGAGCCTATAGTATATTTAATGTATTTGAAACAGTAGTCATGATCCACGACTGCTAAGAGCACCAAGCTGTTTGTTCCTTTATAATTATAGTATTCACTACCACAATTGGGAGGAGCTTGAATTACCACATGTTTGCCGTCGACGGCTCCACAACATCCTGGAAAATTCCACCTGCGGTGAAATCCTACTTGTATGTCTTCCCATTCCCTTTTTTCTGGTACCTGACCAAATATTAATTTAGTATTTTCATTTCAGCCTAACGATACACCGTCGTGGTCCAAAATTTTGGAAGATGATGTTAGTCGGGACATTGATGATAAAACTTATAATAAATCAATCGACTCCAGCGACAGCTCGTTGATCAAAAATAAAAATCCAGTTCAAGTTAAAAATAAAATAAAGCATAACATTACCCAAGAAACGAGTGGAATTGCAGCAGCTTTTACTGAGCTTAAACAACTGAATAGTGCTATACAAACTTCCAGTTGTTCTCAGCAATGTGATGAGTACGATGTTATTGGAAAACATGTCGCTATTCAACTGAGACAGCTCCCATTACTCGATTTTATAGACGCCAAAGATGAAATCCAACAAGTACTTTCCCGATACCGAAAAAAAGCTATACAGGGTGTCCGCAAAGTTGGGGTTTTCCTTTTCAGAAACAACTACCCTTGAAATAACAAAGGTAATGTATAGTGAAACGAGGGCGACCAAGTAAAAAAAATAAAGGAAAAAGTACTCACTCTCCAGTTGACGAGAAGGGCTAAGTACGTCTCTGCCCGAAATCATACCGCTCCAACAGAAAATGAAATCAGCTGATGCGCTACCGAGCAGACGCAGGCAAACAAGGAAGGCAAAATGTTGCGTAAAAAGTCTAGGTACTGCATCCCGTCCAATCGATTTGGGAGAATAAATGGTCCAATAAGCATACCGTTCACCATGCCAGCCCAAACATTCACCGAAAATGTTTGTTGAAAATGTGCCCGACGGACGGCGTGCGGATTTTCTACTGACCAAACATGAGTGTTGCGAAAGTTATTCACGCCATTACGCGTGAACGTAGATTCATCTGTCACCAATATGCACTTCAAAAAGTCCGGATTATTGTCATGTTGATGCAACAACCACTCACAAAACCACACTCTTGCTGGAAAATCGTCAGGTTGAAGGGCTTGTACACGTTGGACGTGAAACGGATACAGCCCCTCTTCACGCAGCGTTTGCCACACTTTAGTTTTTGATACTTGCACTTCTCTAGCCACGTCTCTAGTGCTTTTTGAAACGCAATCGTTTATACGGGTTCGTTTACCTCTACACGCGTGACCGTAACCGTCGGTTGAAGGTTGCATACTGACCTGACACACTGACCCCGACCCAGTTCTGTCGTCGGGTTGAGCTAGTGTCCTAGTACCACTTGGGGATGTCGCGGCTACAGGACGGTATTCAGATATTTTTGATGTTGCAGAGCCCTTTATCTCGGTTCCCTTAAGACATTGGTGTATATGGTACTCAGAAAAATTGCTTATGTTTTCAAGATCTACACGTCGTGTACAGGAAAACCCCAACCATCAAATACATCATACGAGGCTATCCACTTTAGTGATCCACTAGTCAGAGCAATGATAGATGCTGATATGAACAATATGCGATAACTTTTATCGTCTGTGTTACTTTTGTGTTGATTTTATATGACTTGGTTTGTCTTTAATAAATGAATGAATGTATTTATGATCCACACATGTGTCATTGAATAAGTTAACTGAACCTTTGAAGCATCAACTCATGAAGCATTTACCACATTTCTACTTACCTGCAAATATTCGTCCAAGGCTTCATACATAACGTCTCAAACTTCTGGTATAAATTTTGATATGGTGGATTTTGAAATCCTGAAAAATATTGCTAACAACCTGTATGATATTCCTGAGCTTAGAAAACACACGGTTACTTCTAACTTTACCCTTGCTGGTATGGCATGTCTCATAAAAGTGTCTTGACGCTCTAATTTCATTTTTATTAAATTTAAAAGTTTGTCAACTTGTTCGGGTGTCACTCTCAGCACTGCTTTATATTCTCGGGGGTCTTCATGATAAAGCTCCTTGAAAATCGCACATGTTGCCCCTATTAGATCGTCTTGCCATCCAATCTCTAATCCAAACCTTTTTCTTCCTCTCCATTTTCTGAAGTTTTTTGTAGGATTTTTCCAATTCTTCACATAATATTATTGTCATAGACCTTATCACCGTTTTTTTAATCACAGCAAGTTGACTCGACATCGCGACAACTCGGAAGATACTGGGCAGCTACTATCATCGTGGAAACAACTAAGGCGAGTCGAGTAGCTGTCTACTGTCTGGTCAGCAGCTCGCACTGTGTAAACGAGCCATTAGGTTTAGTTGGTATCAACTACTGCGTACGCGCACACGTTTTACGCACGATTATTATTTTCGAGTTTCCCAGTTCATTTCGAGTGGTTTCTTTATCATCATGGCAGATGCAGAAGATCCGCCAGTACCTCGAAACAGCGAGCACGGGCAAACTTTTACAAATGAAGAATACGCAGACATAATGTTCTGTTATGGACTTTGTAACGGCGATGCTGCAGCTGCCCGCCATGAATATCCGCAACGTTTCCCGAATCGCCGAAAACCTCATGTTACTGTGTTTGACTCTGTATATCGGCGCATCCGCCAAACCGGACATGTTCAAAGGCAACAAAGTGATGCTGGTCGACCAAAAGTCTATCCTCCTGAAGATGAAGAGGAAATCCTTCGTGTGTTTCAGGAAGACCCTACTACGTCTACGCGCATCGTGGCTTCTCAGTTGGGTATATCACAATACAAAGTATGGTTTACTGTGCATACTGCAAGATTATAACCTTATCACTTTACGCCTGTGCATGTGATTGAAGAGGGCGATCCTGCAAGACGATTAGATTTCTGCAGGTACATGTTACATGCAGATACAAAAGATCCAGACTATTTTAAGAAAATTCTGTAGACCGATGAATCGAAGTTTGATAAGGACTAAATGATCGCCAAAAATACCAGCCCAAACATTGAATTTTTGTGGCTGCTGTGTATGAACGGGACTGAGCGTTTTTCAAAAAAAAAACTGAGCTGCCAGAAAATGCGTCTGTTTCGTTTTCGATGCACCACCCGGTATAGATAGATATATATAGATAGATATAGATAGATATATAGATGAGATATACGTCTAATGAGATCGAAGAATTCCAGCTGATTATTGATTTTAGAGATAGAGATACGAATAGAAGATTCCCATAGAACTAGAAAACAATACCGCTATACATATTTGCTGGGATAGAAAGTAGGCAATCTGCTATTCCAGACTATAGCTGTCTCAGATCCGTTCAGCATTTTGGCGTAATTGAGTAAAAAGCATCCTCACTTTCTCATTTAAAATGTAGCGGGGAAGTAGGGATTAGTATTAGTAAGAAAGTAGGCATAATTAGTAGAGCTGAGATTTCCTTTTCCGTCGTTAACACATTCTGAGAATACTAAATAATCCCAAGGAAGCTTAAGAGGTTATCTTTTCTATTTATTTATTCTCCAGTCGTAACAATACAATACAACACATAATAGAACAGCTCAAAAATTGTATGCAAATATTCCACTTTTACGGAAGAATTAAAGAGGTGATTACTTTTTTCTTATCACTTTGCCTCTTAAGAAACTCTCTGCCGTTCTAGAAAATTCAAATTGTTGCAAAATGAGGTTTCAAGAAAATTAAATATTAGAAAAAGCGATAATAATCACCCGCTGCTATAAAAGTAAGTATCTTTTCGTACAGCTTCAGAGCTGTACTAATATTTGTTTACAAGTTACGATTGAAGAAAAAATGCACAAAAATGTATTGTTTGGCAAAAAGAAATTGGTAACATTGTTTCTTAGTCATCCCTATAAACACCATAAAATAATCAGTAGACAAGAATACTGCTCCCATGGGCGCCAGCAGCAATTTTTCTCAGGGGGGAGGCCATGGTCGTCAAGACAAGAGTTTTTGTGAAAGTGTACCTGCCTCCAAAGCTCTTGCGAGGGGTAACAAATTTTCCCAGGGGAAGCAAATCCTAAAAATCAGGTTAAATATGAAAATTTAACATAGAAACATCTAATAGATTGGTGAAGTGACACTCAAATGAATGCTATAGAAAGAGGGCTGGTTCATTTCTGTTGCAGAATTATGTTTTACGTTAAATAATTGTGTTTCCAATCTGCAGGATAACTATTGATGAGTTGCACGTAATGTTAGTTATTTCCCAGTCGTTTTTTAAATATTTGAAAACATGAGGTTTGTTTGCCAAATTGACATAATGAAGTTATTTACCTTGGTGTTTTTTATTGACATTTTATTTTCCTAGAGACAGACAAGCTACTTCTCAATAGTACGGGGCACTGCGGTCAATGATGGTGATTACACCGCTTAGTAGTGAAAAAAAATATTAGTTTATTTTATACTTTTGCTTCAGCACGTGTCTGACAGTCACGTGCTGTCTCCAATGTCCAGTGTGATTATTCTATAAATATATCACGTTTGTTGCTACTTGCAGTGACCACGCACCGTAATCGAAACAAAAAACGATCGAAGTGTCAGTCTTTATCAGGCCACTGAGCGTATCGCATATTAGCATGTACTAAATACTTTTAATCGATATAAAAAGATTAAGCATAGAGGCTAACAGAACGTACAACTTCATAATCGAGCACTCAAGACCAATGTCAGTTCTGATTTATAACATGTATTAACAAAACTTCATGGGATTAAGTAAGCTGACGTTAACAGGAATAAAAATTAATTTTATGGATTTGACGGTCGGATCGTAAAATATCAGCATTTCAGTTTAGCAGTATGTCAGCTCCGTTGACCTTAAAGTTAAGGAAATGAAGAGGCTCAGAGTCTAAGGCAAGAGGCGTGGAGGTTTTCGTAGAAAGAGAAGGACGCAGTTTGACAGATAACAGGGGACGTTGTGGATTAAGCAGAAAAATTCAAATCAGAAAAACTAGCTCAAGACAAACAAGTATTGGGACATGGACACAAATCTGATCGAAGGTGTGCAGATACATACTATGAAATCCGAAACGTGAAATTGGTGATAGCAAGAGATGCAAAACCTACAGAATAACGATAGTGATGATAATGACGATGACGATGGTGATGATGATGATGAGCAGGTCAAAAGATTAGTACAATTAGTACCATGAAAATACGTTTTTTAGACGGTACTTAGTAGCTTTGATATATACTAAGTGACATGTAAATCCGAACACCCAGTTTAAATGGTTTTATTTTAATAAAAGTTGGTGAATGTATTTATCTTACTGTAAATAACAAGTAAAAAAATTTTCAGCCTTATCAGTTGGACATTCCGGTTTTCATACTGCTTTTTTTTAATTCACTAACGCTCTAAAAATGAATATTTCAGCCGCAGTAAAGAATCAACGTTGGCGGATTTTGGTTCTTGACATCCTTTACGATCGGTTACGATGCCTAGAGTACGGAGACCTGTACGATTTCGTCAACTTAGTGAGTTTGATAGGGGCCGTATAGTGGGACTTCGGGAAGCTGGACTTTCTTTTCGGGCAATTGCAGTTAGAGTGCAAAGAAGTGTAGACACTGTGGTTAGGTGTTGTCAGGCATGGCTTCGAGAAGGCCGT